TTGCAAGGGGTGTGTCCTGAAGGTGGGTGATTGCTTTTTGTAGATGATTGAGTGACTGCTCCCTACTGAGTAAGCAGAGGCTGTAGGGAGGAATATGTGGAAGTCACATTCCAGGAACAAACCTATTGAGCTAGTGGATAGAGAAAGTAAACAAGAGTTTGCCAACAAAGTTAAAAAGGAGTCTTCAACCATTTTTCTAAGTGGATAGTCTAAACTTGCCTAACCTGAGAAACAAGAAGAAATAAAAACCTTATACTGATAAGAAATAAAAGTGAATTATGAATGGATAAAAAGCTCTGCAATCATGTCCTATAAGTTTAATGGCATGTTTGCATTCATAGCTGGGTGCACATATGTGCAGAAAATGAACATTTGTTGTACTGCTTTAAGAAAAAAGAATAAAAATTAAGAATATTGGAGTGATGACTATCTACCCTAAACAGATGAGAAAAGATAAAGACCTACTAGATCAAACGGGGAACTGCTGGCAGAGGAGCCAATTCTCCAAAAAGAAAAGAATCGAATGAAGAGTAAGCCCAGTAGATGAAAGTGATAATGAGAAGAAAGCAATGTAGAAAGTGCTATACATGTTTTCATCTGAAAGAAACAGATTCTGAGCATTCAGGAAAACAAAAGAAAGCACAATAGAAAAAGAGAAGGATGCTAGATTGAGGCAGTAGATGTAGTTGTTTCCTGAAAAAAAAATTAAAGAAAAGAAAAAAAAGAGAGGGAGGGTGAGAGAGAGAAGAGAAGACTCGTGGTAGATGGTGACTCACTATTGTAAGACATTGAAATAACTGTATGAATGGATACATTGGCTTCTGAAGTGTGCTGTCTGACAAGATCAAGGATTAAGAATGTAGAAGAACAACTTCCAAGACTTATCAAATCCAGTGACAATTATCTTTTCTTGTTAATCAACATGGGGCCAAATGATAGGACAAAGAACAGCTTCAACAACTATATCTGTGGACTTTAAAACTCTGGGAAGAAGACTGAAACTAAAAAATACGAGACTCAGTTTTGCTCTCATCTATCCATCCTATTGGTAAAGAAAACTGGAAAGAGAAAGAAGATTATTGCAAATGAATAACTGGCTACACAAACAGGATCAGCAGGAGAGATTTGGTTTCTGTGGCCGTGGTCTTAGTTGTATGGTTGATGGATTATGTCACAGCATGAGTTTCATTTCATAAGACCTGAAAAAAAGTTGATAATGGTTTCCTAGCCAGATTACAGAACTTTCAGGAAGAAGAAATATAAATACTATCATTAGAGACTTTAACACAGGCGTGTCCAACCTTTTGACTTGCCTGAGCTGCACTGAGTGAGGAGGAATTGTCTTGGGCCATATATAAAATATATAATATAGTTAATATAGATAAATAAGAAACTACCATTTTTTAAATACTTTTATTACAATTTTGTGGGGCCACATTACTAGTTGTCCAGGGCCACATGCGGCCCACAGGCTATGGGTTGGACATGCCTGCTTTAACTATCCAGATAATTCTTGGAAAATCAACTCAGCCAAAGCTGCAAAATCAAAAATTATTCATGAAGCTTGCTTACTGTTTCATATTCCCGAAGGCTGAAAATGAGGAACAAAGAGATTGGCTCTCTTTCAGATTATGCTAACTAATAGGAGAAACTAATTAAATATATCATGTTGGGCTTCACAATACTGTAGAAAGGGAAATTAAGCAGGTAGTCCTTGCTTAATGACCCCAGTTGGGATTGGCAGATCCGCTGCTAAGCAAAGCAGTTGCTAAGTAGGAAATCTTATAACAATGTCAGCTTTCCAGTTGGAAAGATACAAGACCACTGTACTCAGTTTCACATCTTTGATTTTTGTTTACCTTCTAACCACTTCTCCATCCTTTGGAATGCTCGAGTGCCTGCTTACTGTCTCGTACACATTAAAAGCAAAGCAGTTGCCCCGTTGTTCAGGGATGGGAGCCATGGGCATGTCACACAAACAGCTTAGTCTCTTGAAATCCCTTTGCCTCCAGTCTCCCCATTCTAGGAGGCGGAGAGAAAAAAGGCAAGCAATTTCTGTTGGCAATTTCTCTTTTGCCCAACCCTTTCAATACGCTCAATCATATTGTTCTCAATATGTAGAAAAGTAAACAACATACTCTCTAGAAATCCTTTTCTCTCTAATCTCTGTTCTGCAAGTGCAGGGAGAAAAACAATAGAGGTCAGGCACAGGACATGTACTTTACGGACTGTAGATCACATGACTGAAGAATGCTGTTAAGTTTATAAATAGCCTATAAAGTTATTTTTTCAGTACCATCACATAGTCATACACTAGATATCATTTCAAAGTCAGAAAATCTCCAAAATTGGAAATTTCTAAGAAATGAGATATTGGGACTACAATATTATTGCACACCATTTCAATAAGAAAAAAATGGAAAGCAGCTTAGAAAATCATTGTGCAGGACTATGAACTATATACAATTGTTACATACAATTGTCTCGAAGGAGCTTGCAAGTGTAACCTTTCTTCAATCTTTGATAAATTCTGAGTGATAGGTGTAGTGCCAAAAGATTAGAGAAAGTCCTGTGTTTTATCCTCAAAAGGGGGAAAGATGAGCTGTGTACTTGCAAACTGATCACCTTAATATCAATATAAGACAAAATTTGGAAATAGTTATTAGGCATTTAGAAACTAATGCATCTCTTAGCAGAAACCTCCATGGGTTGATCAAGAGCAAATCATGCTAAACTAATCCAATCAAACCAACAACCCAACTACCAACCCCAGCTACTAATATTCAAACATATCTCAAACTAACCCAATTTTCTTTTCTGACAGAATGCAGGATGCTCATGAGGATGCAATACATAATAGTACACCCTGATTTCAGGAAAACATTCAGACAAGTGAAGATAACATTAAAATTGGTCTGGGCTATATTGTTATTAAATGGTTGAGGAAGTGCTTGAACAATTGTACAATTAATGTATTTAATTGGCTCTACATCCAAGTGGAGGTATTGAGTACTGCAGATGCATGTTTTAACCCTGCCTTGTTCACCCATATTAGTTAAGTGACTAGAGTGGAGGATTATAATAATAAAATAACAAAATAATGATAATAATAATAATGGTGATGATGATAATAATAATAGTAATATAATAATAATAATAATAATCAGAATAATAATCAGAATAACAGAGTTGGTAGGACCTTGGAGATCTTCTAGTCCAACCCTCTGCTCAAGTAGGAAACTGTATGCCATTTCAAACAAATGGTTGTCCTATCTCTTCTTAAAAACCTCCAGTGTTGGAGCATCCACAACTTCTGGAGACAAATCGTTGCACTGATTAATTGTTCTAACTGTAAGGAAATTTCTACTTAATTCTAGGTTGGTTCTGTCCATGATTAGTTTCCATACATTGCTTCTTGTTCTGCCTTCAAGTGCTTTGGAGAACAAGTTGACTCCCTCTTCTTTGTGGCAGCCCCTTAGATATTGTAATACTGCAATCATATAATATATAATTAGGTTAAAAATTGTCACATTTTCAGGTGTCTCAAAGATAGAAAGGATATAAAATTATTTATTATTTAATAGTATTTATGTTCCATATATATTTTAGGCTGCAAATGACATAATTCCAATGCAATGGAATTAAAACAATTTAAACAAAAAACCAGGCATAAACGGGGGCCAAAAGTAAAGCAGATCTCCAACTGATTCTTGCTAGATGTCTATTGTCTATTGTCTTGCTAGATGTCTATTGGATGGGCCAATTCTTTTTTTTTTTTGCAAGTATTTTCTTGATATATCCTGGCACTGTGCCAAATAGAGCCTCAAATTAATCTGAGGACCGTGTCAAGACTCAAAAAGTTGTTGAAAAGATGGGATATGGGGCAAATCCCAGCAAGGTGAATTTTTACAGAAGCATACATGTGCAGACTTACATTTCAGTAGGAAAAATCGAAAGCATCAATATAGGCTAAAGGAGAACACACTGAGCAACAGTACACATGATAGGAATCTGAATATTTTGGCAGATCATATGGTGAATGTGAACCAATAGGGTGAAGCATCTGACAAAAGCAGTCCTATTTTTTTTTAATGAGAGAAATAAAATACCAAGGTTAAGAAAAGTAATTATGTTCTGTTCTGCATAAGTCAGAATAAGACTGTTACATCTAGTTTCACATTTTAGGAAGGGCATTGGCAAACTATAGCATGTTCAGTGGAGAGTAATCAAAATGGCAAGAGACCCAGAAGAACAGTGTATGAGAAATTGTTGGATGTATAGGTACGTTTAACCAGAAGAAAAGATTGCAAGGAATTGTTGACAGTTATTTTTGTGTATCAGAATGGCCATCATGTAAAGATAAGGGAGAATTGTTCAGTTCTAAATCCTGGGTAAGAAATAAGGGAATTTAAATATGGAAATATATTTAAATTTGCAGATAATACAAAACTGGGCAGGGTATCTAATAACCTAGAAGAGGGAAGTAACACTGAAAGCTATGTTATAGGTCAGAGACATGGGCTGAAAATAACTAAATAAAATTTAAGGGAGATATGCAAATTTCTTCACTTAGGAAATAGAAATAAAAGTTGGCAGGTAAAATGTCTGAGAATGTGTGGGCACCTGGTTTGATAATAACATGTATGAAAAGAATATTCGAGTGCAGTTGATCACAAGCTGAACATGAATTAGCTATGGCCCATGGATGCTAAAATGGCTATTCACAACCAGATCATGTTCCAAATCCATTTCACACAATCTCCACCAAGATGGCCAAACTTAGTGGATTATGGGAACTCTTCTAAAGCTCCTTTTCTCTGCAGTTTAGTTGCATACATGCAGTAATTCTGGGTCTGGATTTTTATTAAACTATCATTAAAATGTTCTTGGCTATACTTTATATTTTCAATCAGAAGCAGTATTATTAGATTGTGTTTTGTACTTAATTGTTTTTATATGATCTTTAATTAAAAAGTAATATGTTGCTATCTTCCAAATAGGAACCTTTAATATGGAGCAGAATTCTGAACAAAAGAAGGATGTCTCTTTTTCTGGTTGCCTGAGTTTTCCAAATTCTTCAGCAAGATTGCAGCCTACAAGACACTCGGCCATTTGGACAAACAAAGAAATAGTCAACTTTTCAGATCAACCCATAACCAACTTAAATGTTATACAAACAGAATATGCTAAGACTTTGCATTTAAAGAATATTGCTGTGCCTGACAATGATGAAAGGATAAGGTAAGCTTTCATTCTAGATTGAACACAATATACTCTATGTTTTTTACATTACTCTTTTATCTTTTTTCTCAACATTAAAAAAATGCTTAAGGAGTTAGAGACAGAACAGTTTCACAGTTGTGGATATACCAGATTCCTTTTGAGAAATAGCATCCAAAATGCTTCATAATTCCTCAAAATTCAACACCCAATCTTCCTTTCCATGCTAAAGTTTGCATAGTATGTATTGTGTTGTAATATTAGTTGGGTGTATAATGTATTAACATATTGTTGGTCAAATAGGTAAAATCAAATTGATGTAATACAAGTAGAATGCCAGTAAACTTGAATCAGTAATTAGCTTTTTCTCAAGTGATTATAGATTGAAAGTATATGTACCGATGTTCATATTATGTTCATATTTTTATGTTAATAAAGAGCTAGACAATCTTTTGGGGAGGTTGAAGGGCAACTTTGAACGTTGACATCATGCCATGATTCTATCACAAAATGGCAGCCTGGTGTTGCCTTGTCTTCCCACAATTCAAGATAAGTTTCAATTAATCACAAACCTTCCATTAACCAGTGGATAAATTGTTGCAATTGATCTGTTTCAGCAACCCGCAAAAGCTTTTTACCAAAAGTTAAACATAAAGACATAATTGAATTGAGCTTGACAGCATCCATGCATTTTTCTTGGTATTATTAAGAAAATTAGTTCTTCCAAGATGTTCCTTTTATTTTCCAATCCAGTCTTTGATCCTGCTACTGACCACCTCTATCAACCATGCTTAGGTGCTTTGCCTGCTGAGGCAATTTACTTTAGCAATTTCTAGCTTCCCTTTATATGTGTTTGTATGCTTAGGTGCACCTGTTACTGAATATGGCCTAGGCAGTCAAGAAAAGAAAGAAAAAACAGGGACATAGACAGCACCTTAAGAAATATCTACCTGGATTTTAATGTTTATAGTCTCTGCCTACTGTTGAACACAAAAATCAAGGAAAGCTATATCACTATGGCAGCTCAATATGGTATCATTTTTTTAAAAAAAGGCATACCCCTGATGTTACTATTTTGAATCGGACTCAAAGGTTATATCCAACACTATCTTCCAGAGTACATTTGCAAAGAGCTCAGAGGAAGAAGAGTAAAATGAAATACTGTTCCAAGAAAAGTCCACTCAAATAACATTAGGCGATATCCCCATTCTTTCATTAAGAAACAAGCATGCTCAGTTCCTTGTAAGTTGTTACAACAGTTGGCAACCACATTATAAGCTATTACATATAAGTGGTTTGTGAATGGCTTCGGAAAATCCACAATAAGTCCATTTGTCTATTTCCTGGTTCCACAGCACACCTGCTAAGTCTTTAGTATGAACTGTTCTCTGGTTTTTGTTTTCATATCATATATTGTATATTCTAATTTTTTCTTTAGGCCATGGGTGTCAAAATCACCACATCACTTGACGTGTTGTAACTTATCACAACTTTTTTTGCAGTGCCGGAGCTGGGGTGAGTGCTGCCTCACATGATGCAACTGGCCCGTGGGCCGGCAGTTTGACACCCCTGCTTTAGGCCTTTTAGGTTCATCTCTTTTTAATTTCTGTTACTTCTTCTCAATAGCAGTAGCAAGTGATGTGGTTTTTTTTTTTAAAAAAAAAAACAACTTTGTTACTGAGATTTCTAAGAAGTAGAATTGAAGTAGGTCAATCTGCATTTTACTATTTTAAATGTGATAAATCTCTTAAGATGCAGTGACTGCCATTTGAAGAAGTGGCAGTATCTGATATAAATTGTTTCAAAATCCAGTACAGATTTCTGTCATTTCATGACAGATGCCAGGAAATGAACCTGGATTCACTCTAGGTATTCCACACTCAGTGATGACCCTGTATTTGGCCCATGTGTGAGTGATTGGAAGATCCTTTTGAATCTATCAATTTCCCTTTCCTTTTTTTATACAGTACTTCTACTGAAAAACAAGAAGAAAAAGTCAACTCTACGACTACTAAACTAGATAAAGAAAAGAACATTGCATTTCTTTTAAATGAATTGGATGTTCTAAGGGCAAACAATAAGAAGGTACAACCTATTCATCTAGTCACAGATATTCATATTCTTTTTTTCTAATTGATAAGGTTCAGAGTTTGTTGTTGTTGAGGAATGATTATGATAATTCATGACTTGTTGATTTTAGGATATTACTTTTGTTTCCTTGATGTGTTAAGAAATTAGCTCTATTGCAAGGCTTATGTCTATGATCTTGATCTTTTTGCCAAGTATTTCTGACTTAAATAAATTTGAGAAGATAGAAATTGTTCAGAATGTACTGTAATGTAATTAAACTTTCAGAATAATTTTAATTGTATATAGATCAAGACAGATTAGGAATTACACATATATATTAATCTCATTAATCTACATTGATGGGTAAGAGACCCACTGTACGTTACTGAATTTTACATTTCAACTGTATTGCAGTTAGTCTGTACAAACTCTTGAAAGTGAATTCATTACTGTATCCTGTAAATGAAGATTGATATACTAATAGGAATATATTTTCTTCATAACATTAAGATTTGCAACACATTATTTTTCAGCTATATTAGCAGAATTTACCTATCAAAATTTCTTATCAAAATCTCATTGTAAAGTACAATTGAATCTTTCTCAAATGGGAGAAATTCTGAATGTTTTCTGAGTAGCAAAACAAAAATATTGGAGGAATAGGATGAAAATCATGGTTTTAGCTTCAATGCTGTAAAATCAGATTGAATTATGTTATTACACAAATTAAGCATTATTTATTATGAATCATTTAACTAGTTTTGCTTATAGTTCTTTTATATTTTGGAGCAGACTTCTCTATCTAATAGTCTTCAGTGACTATGGGGCTATAAACCTTAGGATTCAACATAGTCCTTAGGGATGCTGAATATGAATATTGGGAGTTCCAGTCCCAATCCCTCTGGTGGAGTAGAAAGCCATTGAAATCCATGCTCAATTAAGCTTATTCATTTTAATAGCAGTGATTTGAGCAATATTATTGTGCAAAAAGCATGTGAGACATAGACCTTGGGCTGTGCTTCTCAAAAGTTTGAATTTCTGAAGCAACCTATGATATGACACCAACATTGTAGGTGGGAAGGGATGAGTGAAAAAGCCCAGTTATCTATGTGGTTCTTTTCACTTCCATCTCTTCAGCCCTAGAAATGCTTTTTTTCTGAACTTACTACTCCACAATAGGGAATTCATTCAGTTATGAAATCAGCATTGCCCCAATTTCATAAATCCTACTTAGTTGTTTAATGGCTGCAGTCTTAGATGCCATCCCATTCAACTTGGAAGAACTAGTTTTTCAGAAGACATACCAGGAAGCGTGGCATCATCATATGTGTCTGTGTCCCAATGTATAGTACTACCACAAAATACTCTTTCAAAATGAGCAATGAGCAAAAAGTGTAATTATTGATTTTCTTGGAAAACAGAATTTGTTTTCCTTTTTCCCATAAGAAAGAAGTTTTAACTTCTTTTCTCACATATCTATATATCTATATATTGTAAATTAAGATGTGCCCATGTACATTTGCATTTTATATTTGTATTTTACAATATATTTGTTCAATCCAGCTTCAGGATCAGCTGTGTGAAAAAGACAAGGAACTGAAGGCACTAAAGCTGGACTTAGAGCTACACAAGAGTGTAGCAGAAGCTAAGATTGCAGAAACGGCTGCAGGTAAGCAAGCATTGAACAGATGGCAATATGGCTCTTGGTTGCTATATTGCATGGCCCCATTTGATATATTTACTAAAGGAGGGCTGGCTTAGCTTTTTTTATATATCTGAGGCTATTTAAAGTTGCTTAGAAAATAGTTGGCTTTAACATCCTGGTACCGGTATTAGTGGAAGCTTTACCTGTATTCATACTGATTTTGGCATTAAATGCATTGTTAACACCATGTCAATCCAATCACAAAAACATTATTTGTTTTGTTGGAAGGTCCTGTACAAACAAGGGAAATAATGATTACCACGGTCACTACCTTTCCAGACAGCAGTTCAAATACTCATTTATTGTTTTAGTTCATTCAGAGTGATGTTGCCTCCACACATCTTTGTTGGAGATACTATTATAATCCCCCCAATGGGAGAACTGACCCTCATTTTGATAGATGGAGAAATATGATTTTTGATTAATGAAAACTCAGCTACTTAAGAATGGTGGAAAACTGGATAGATAGTAAGATAAATAGAAAGAAAACTGATTCAGTTGAAAAAAATCAACTGGATTTTCACAGTGTGTTTCAATAGCACCAACAAAGATAGGTTAGTCACTATACACCTTGGGAAAAAATAGTTACCACAAATATATAGATTTGTTTTGTTTGTTTTTAAAAGCTCTCATCCCAAAACACCTGAATAATAGTTATGTCTGGATTATCAATCAACTATACAGTGCATTAACTGTTTGAATTAAATGCAACAAATAACTTTGTTTTTTTTAGGGCATTTGCACAGATTTTTGCCTCTCTGTCTATAATGGTGAAATATTTTATTTTATATTCTTTCTTTGTCAATGAATCCTTAGAGGCAAACTGGAAAGCTACATGTTTTGATGCACAGAAGTAGAATTCTGTGCAGATTGCTGGTTATTAGGACTTACTAGTGCAAGGTTTCAGAGGCAATCTCTTTAAAGTACTTGGGAGCTCATGGGAATGGAACTGTAATGTCAATTTGCAGACTTTAAAGCAGCTGTATAGTCTCTGGGAAAGATGTGGCTGCTTTAAGGTATCCAACATTCATAGCAAGGTACAAACATTAATCAAAGGTGCTAGTTTAGAAAAAGAAAACATGTTTTGGAGATCAGATCTAGACCACTGCTCAGCCTTATGGAAATTGCTATTCCATACAAGTGAGTTTAATATGTGTTTTGTTTCTTTGCTGAATTTTTATATTCATTCTCTGTCACACACAAAAAATCTCAAAAATGATTTTAATATAAGTGTCTAGATCCAAATAATTTTATCTTATTTTTCTTTTAAAAAATCTATCAAATATTATTGAGATTTTCTCTTACTTTCTGTTAATTATTGTTCTTTACACATGGCAAAAATATTAGAAGTTTGTAATTCTCTGGGTTATATTTGCATTGCACTGTTGTTTTCAGAGACCAAGTTTCAGCTAGATGATATATGCACAGAAGTTAGGTTACACTGCATGTAAGACTGTGACAACATCACAAGATAAGGTTATAATAAAATGCACATAATCTTTGGGAAAAATGTCAAAGAATAATAAAGTTCCATGCTTGAAAGACATTGGTAATATAAAATTGACAGGAGGAAGAAAACAAACTATTGTAGAAGCTGTCTGAAATATGAAGAAATGAAATTAGATTTTTACATAACATCACTGATGAAGCTGGTTGCATCTGAAATTCAGAAATGGCTTGCCTGCAGTAGAAAATTAACATTTCCAGCTTGCATTCAGCTCTGCAGAGCATATGCTTATATCTTTTGTTAGATTGATGATGATGTTTGAGCAGAGGTTAGGAGGAGGAAAGAGTATGAAAGAGCAGATGGAGAAATAAAAACAGCAAAGCAATAGGAAAACATCCCACTAATATGGATGCCCATCTGTAGTTATCATACAGAGTAAATAGGCATAGATCCGAAGCTCAGATGAAATGCAGTGAATAGGATGAGATACTTGGACACAGGACTGGTATCCACACATTATCCAAGCAGCCAGAATCCAGCAGCTTTAAGCAGGCCTCAGTGTTTTTCACATCTGCAAGGAAATAATGACAAGAATAACTTAACGGCAGCATAAGTGAAGAGCTGGTGCAAAATTATTATATTAGTATACTTTTCATGCTTTTATGTGATGTTAGACTTTGAGTTGGGCATCTTTGTCTGCTTTCTGCCTTTTTAGAATTGCTCTGACTTGATTAGCCAGTTCTCTTAACAGTCTCAGTTTTCTGGCCACTAGAGGGTGCTGTTCCTTCTTAGTGTGTGATTTTTAGAGGTAACCACTTCATACTCTTTCGAACTTAACTGTGGTTGAAGAAAAAGCAATATATCTAAGGTGGGAAGTGAACGTACTATTACTTGGGATGGAAGAAGAGGATTCAAACCTGAAAAATTCAAATATGAGGAAAAGCAAGTAGAAAAAAATCTGAAAGGCTTATGAAGAAAAATCTTTCAGATATTTCTCTAGTAGTGCAAAGAGCAGGGACAGGAACAGCACAGATACTCCATAATTTTTTTTTCTAAAACAGATAATTGAAAAGAGATAAATAGGTGAAATAGTCTTCATTATTACTAGTGTAAGTATTTTGGAATCAGCTACATGAAAAGAAATTCAAAGTATCCATTGCTATACCTTGATTAGTGTCTCTTTATTTTTTATCAAGCACTATCTTTTCTTCCCTTTCGTTACAAATTTTAAATGGCTGAGTTAAAGGTTCATTACCTCTAACAAACCTCTTGTAGAGGACATCATATCTTTCTTTAATTTAAACTCAATGTGGGGAATTAAAAATGCAGGTTTGCTATTGTAGCTTGATAGTTCGCAGACATCACCAAATACTTAACCTTTTAACTTGGTTGCACTATCAATGCCTTCCATTTTGTTATGGTCCCTTGCCTTTCTAAGGCAGCCTCAGGAATGATCAGTAATGATATTGGTTGCAGCCAAACATCTGGAGACATACAGCTAGAAAGGTTGCTCCAGTTCAAGAGAGCCTAGCATGTTCAGAATCATCCCAGGAATAAAAGTGATAATTCTTCTCTGAAGAACAGTATTTGGAGATAATGTTACCTCCCTTCTTTTGCATTGTTTCTCATTTTGAGCTCTCTCATGTGGACTTTGTGGCCTTTTATGTTGGTCCTGATCCTATGAAACCTGACTGCTATTCTCTCCTCGTCTGCCTAGGAGCTATTTTTACCTGATGCCATTGTTCTCAGTTCTCCCTGTTTCTCTAACCTCCTGTCTCTCAGCAGCTCCATCACTCTGCTCCTGCTTGCTTTCCATTAGCTCCATATCTATTGTTCCTCACTCACCTGCTTCTGACATCTCTGCTCTTTGCTAACAGTGGGGGTAATATGCAGGCTTTCATTCTTTCAGCAATGTGCATGCTATAGTGTAGATGGTTACACTGGCCAGGCAGTAACACTTTCTGCCTGTGTTTTTTTAAAAAGATTAAAAAAAAATTGACACCAATTCCACCCAAGCTCTAGGTCTAGGAAGAATAGAGTTATAAAGGCCCAGTGACAGAGATTATCCCATTTTCTGTGATGGGCTTTGGGCATCTCTTACTGGATGTAACATAGGGAAAATAGGCACAAAATGTGTACATCTGAAAAGCCCCATGAGCCCCGAATGACCAGAATTTGCCGAGAGTTATTTTTTGCAGGCCCCCTCAATAAGATAACTGTACACCTCTTCAGTAAATCTTATAAACCACCTTAAAACTCTTTTTAACTTGTTCCACACTTGCAATAACAGGGCAGGGTGTTCCAGATAAACACTGCCAGCCAGTTAGTTAATATTTGTTGTTTCATCAAAGTCCTTGGCACTTGGCCATGCTATACTGAGAACAGATATTGGCTGATTTAAGGACCTAACAATTGCTACTGTTTGAAACAGGAATTACTATTTGGAGAATAATAAACAGCAATATTTCAAAACTTTCCCCCCCTCGCACTGTATGTAGGAATAATGTCTCATCTTGCTAAGACCCTTTAGCTGTTATTATCTTTATAAGCATATGCAACACAAATCAATCTAAAATCTTAAATGGTAAGAAATAGAAGAGACTCTGAACTAAATATAAATTTGCCTTAATTTCCAGAAGAGCAGACAATTTGCTGCATGTACCTTAGAACTGAAAGCTATCTCAAATTCAAAATATAGAAAAATAGATTCTAAGTTAAATGTGTTTATTAATAATACCACTATTTTACATGAGATGAAATTCTGAGAAACTTTTAAAACTATACAAAAGCTGAAATATGGCAAATGGTTTATTATTTTAAAACTATACAGTGGTTATATCTCATTTATTTAAATAAATGTATACCTATGCTTTTGCCTAAATATCTTACATTGTTATTTAGAAGACTGGGCCACTGTGGCCTCACTATCTGGGGCCTTTGATACTTCCTGTAAGATAGTATTGGTCTAAATATAAAGGGAATTTATCCCGTTGAAAATTTTTAACATTACTATGCCACTCTTTCTGTCAGTCCTTCAACTAAAGTATTAAAACTATGAAACAAGACAAATGGTTTAGTTTTTAAAATATTTCTGAATCAATTTGAAACAATTTTATTGCATTAAATAATTATTTTGTGCTTGGTCCAGTCAGAAACAAGAAACAAATAGTGCTAAAGTTCTTTTAGCACTGGATATTTCCTTTTACCTTTTGTCTCCACTGAAGAGAGAACTATATTTTTAGTTCATTTTGGTCTTTTTTTTTAGATGCCATTTATTTTTTCTTCTTGCATGTCATCCATTAAAGATTAGCTGTGGAAGGTTGAAGCATGGAGAGATTATGAATGACAGAACAACTGCTGCAGAATAGTAATCAGTTTTTGATATTTAATGCTGTTTGACTTTTGCAGACACATTTCTTATTAACCTTTGCTACAACGAGAAATCCAGGTTCCCAATACCTCATGGAGAAGATGAATTTAAGATCCTCTTCCAATTAAACTGAAATAAGGCCAATAT